CTGTCCTTTCTGTACAATCTATAACCCTCAATATGTACTGCCCAGTCGTGGGACGAATCCCACCAGGTTTCCGTTAGCCCTACTAAGTCGTAGGTGTTTTGTGCAAGCAGGAGCGCTAGTTCATCCTGCTTGTTTCCCATGCTCCTAGCATTAGTATATAGGCACTTGAGCCCTGCGACTGGTGCCTTTGCTGTCCCCCCTGCTCCGAGTCCCAAGGGGCCCCTTATTTCTTACCTTCTCGTTTCTTACCTGTGCCATAGTTCTGGCTGCCCCATGTCTTGCAGGTTATGCAAGGTTATGACCAGTGTGTCACTTGGTCATAGAAGGAGACGAGGTTGGTCAGGCAAGACCTCCCAGTAACAAAGCCATGTTGGCTGGCATTCAAAAGGTTGTCTTCCATTAGCCTGTTGCTGATGGATGTCTTGATGCTTTTCTCCAAGATCTCTACAGGGATGGACATCAGACTGATTGGTCTGTAATTCCCTGGATGCTCCATCCTTCCTTTCTTGAAGATTGGGATGACGTTGGCTCTTTTCCAGTCTTCCAGAACCTCACCCAAGCACCAAAAGTTTTCAGATATCTTTGCCATAGCATGCACTATGATGTCCAATAGCTCCTTCAAGACTCTCGAGTGCATTCCCACCGGGCACACTGACTTATGGATGTCTAGCCTTTCAAGGTGTTTCCTCACCTGATCTATGTCAACTGTGGGCCCATCTCCCACTACAGCAATGGTGTGGGCAGGGTGCCAGCCACTGCCCAGAGTACCAGCGCAATGGCACGTCCGCAACAGGGCAGGGCCAGGAGGAGGAGTCCAGGCAGAGCGAACCTCTAGCACCTGGGGGCCATGGCCCTGCCCTCGGAGGAAGGCTGAGTTGTTGCCCTGCTCTCAGAGCTATTTCTGCTCTTTGACAAGTGACAGCTGGAGTGAAATGCAGCCGCAGGATCCCCACACCCAGGCTCCCCTCCCAGGCCAGCGCCCTCCTCCCTGAGGGGCAGCCACAGGCCCTCACACTTTCTCCTCCTGATTGGACATTTCAGCCCAGTTGGAAGAGGGGCAGCAATGAGCAGTGGGCACCTGTGCAGAGCCCTCCACAACCCTGTGCCCCTGGCTGCCCTCGCCCCTCAGCCCAAGACCTCCTTCCCAAGACAACCTTGTCTTGAGATAGACATCTTGTGCCCTGGATCGGCATGAGCTGCATCTGCTTACTATCAAAAATGAGCCTTCAGGATCCTGTGCCAACACCCGGGTGCTGCGCAGCGTGTGCTAGATCACAGCTGAGCTCCGTGACTGCGGGGAGGACGGATGGGGCAAGTGCGTGACTGTGACCAGCCCCCGCCCTGCTGTGACGGGACAGGAGAGTCCCTGGCCTGTGGCTGAGCAGGAAGCAGCTGGTGCCGGGAGCAGCAGGACTGAGCAGAGCAGGGAGGGTTTTGCATGGGGCTGTAGCACTGTGGGAGGGCCACTATGACTATGTTCACAGTAATAGTCTCCGGCATCACCAGCTTCCACGTGGCTGATGGTAAAAGTGAAGTCAGTGCCAGACCCACTGCCACTGAACCGGTCGGGGATCCCAGAGGGGCAGCTGTTTGTGCTGTAGAGCAGGAGCTTAGGAGCCTGCCCTGGTTTCTGCTGGTACAAGTGCATATAGCTGCTGCTAACACTGGAGCTGGTTTTACACTGGATGGTGACTGTGTCTCCTACAGACACTGCCAGGGAGTCTGGAGTCACGAGGACGTCCCTGTTGGAGCCTGCATGTTGGAAACAATCAACATGAAAACAATGTCGGACAGATCAAACCCAATGATGATCACCAAAGTGAAATATTACTGCCATTTTAAAAAAAAAAGTCTCTCTCCATTTTGCTCCAGAGGATATATCTCTGCTCATTCTTTTAAACATCCCAAATGACCCTGGGCTGTTAACCCATGAATCCAGACTGTCTGTGTATCAAGTTATCGCTGTCACAATGTTAGCAGCAAACCAGTAATTTGAGCTGATCTGTCTTGCTGCCCTTAGTCTGCACCCAGAGCACGAGGAGCCAGAGGAGCTGAGTCTGCCACAGCATCTTGCTGCTTCTGCACCAACTGACGCGGAGCTGAGAGACACCAAGCATTAAACCGGCCCCTTTATAGCTGCTCCCCAGAGCAGGGTGCTGCCATAGGGGTGGAGGTATGCAAAACAACATTTTTTTTTTCAAAGCAGCAGCTCGATGGAAATATGCCTTCTCTGGGCCCCATGGCAGAGAGTTCAGGGAATGCCATTACAAGCAGAGCTGGCTCCCCCCAGGGATCAGGACCATGTGCAGGTCTCCTCTTCCTGGGCTCTGGCTCCTGTCTTTCTGAACAGTTCTTCACAGGGCTTTGTCATCCCATTGCACTCAGTAGGCTTAGTTTACATCTGCTTGGAAATCAACTCAGGTGCTGTCTGTGGACCATTGGAGCGCCCCGGCTCTGCCTCCCTGCTGACCATCTCTATCCTGCTGAGTGTTTCCCAGCTCAGAGGTTGTCACGGGGGCAAACTGGGAGTGAACACCGGGCTCCTTTTGAATGAGTGAAGAGCTCCCACGGCCGCAGGGTCAGGATGTCACCTGGGGGATTTCACTGTCTGCTCTCCAGTCCCTTCCACTGGCCCCCACTAAACACCAGTGTGGGAGGCTGGAAGCTCAGGCCATGCTGGAGTCCTGCCCTGCACTGTGTCACCCTGTGCCCAGTGTGGCAGGAGGAGAAGGGGACATAACACACGGCCAGTCTGACCTGGAGAAGGAGACCCGGCTCCAGACAGTGCGAAGATCCTCTGTGGAAATACCAGGACCACGCAGGTGGTTTTCCCAGGGGCAAGGGATAACCCCCTTTCTGGCATGGGGTAGTACCCACAGGGGTAATGTATATTTAACCTCCCACATTCATTTCCCTTGGGAAGATCTTGGCTTTACTCCCACTTTATGTAAATGGGAGATTCCTCCCTAGCTTGCTCCTGTGGCCACATGGCTGAAGGCAGGTGAAACTTGGGGGCATCCGAACCCCAACCCACCAGGCTTGAGCCTGCACTAGGATGCCTGCCAAATGATCTGGAAACATCTGAAGCCCCAGGTGAAGGTGGAGCATGTTTGCTGGTAGTAGGGCCACTTACAATTCTTGAATGACACGTGGACTTGGAATTGATTCGGCTGATTTGGCTTGGAAGACAAACACATTTTACATTTAAAAAAAAAAAAAAAAAGGATCCTCTGTCAGTGTTGGAGGCTGCCACTCACTCTGGGGCGGCAGGGATGCTCAGTGCCTCTTACTACATTTCTGATGCTGTCACTTCTGACCCCTTCATGTCCCCTCCTTGCTGTCTTCCCTCCTTGACAGCCAGGCACTGGTGTCTCACCCTTCATCCATCGATGGCAGTGATTCTCAACCCGAGCGCTGCAGCAGCCTGGGACACTGGGACAGCCTTTGAAAGGTATTTCTAGAGTCCAGAGTCCCCTGGAAGCAGCTCCCTGCCCTGGGCCTGGGAGGAGACCAGAACCACGACCGGGGTTGTCCCTTCTGGACTCTGGAGCAAGGGGGACGATGGCCCAAGGTCTACACCACGGACCTGGCAGCCAGGAGGGACATTGTGTGTGGCTGGGAGCAGGCTCCTGGGGGCGTTTGGAGGTTTGTGTGGGAACTTGGTAGCAACGAAAGAAAAAAGAGAAAAACTCTAAGATGGGGAGCGTTTCAATCCAAAATACAATCCAAAGAGAATTGAGGAGAAGGACACAGCTCTGAAGTGGAAAAAGAGAGGTTCAACATGCTGCCGAGGCGAGTGCAATGTGTGACGGGCCCTGGGATGCGGCGTCCATGCTTTATAAAGAAACAACGTTCCCAGATAACGCATCGATTGTGTCCTTACATCCCCGGGTCATTGCATATGTCTGTTGACAGGGAAAGATCTTCACAAGACAAGGCAGGCAGCTGAGCGCCACCTAAGAGACCACTGCTGGTGACATCAGGTGCTGGTACATGAGTGCGAAGGCTGCTCTGATGTGCTTTAATCACAGCTTGTTGGAGCAGACTAGATTACAAGAGTCTGCTGTAGCCTGGCAATTACCATGCTCCAGAAGCATCCCATGTGTCATCTATCAGCGTTCCCATGCTTCAAAATGGCAGCAGGGGTACTCGAGCCAAAGGCCGTTGAATGACCTTTAGCTCAAGCGCCCCACCACCATTTTGAAGCACAGGAGCACTGATACATGAGATGCTGCAGCGGTGTAATCAGAGCAGCTCTCAGAGCCACTCAGGGTATAAGAGGCTGTGTCGGAGTGGAAGAAGTGATGGGTGAAATGCATGAATGTGAGCAGCACCCGCCTCTGCTGTAACGGCTCAGCAGTCATTGGCCGATGCAGGAAGCAGCTGGTTTCAGGAGCCGTGGGACACGAACAGAGCAGGGAGGTTTTTGTACGGGGCTGTAGCACCGTGCGAGGGCTACCATAATACTGTTGACAGTAATAATCTCCAGCATCACCAGCTTCCACCCGGCTGATGGTGAGAGTGAAGTCGGTGCCAGACCCACTGCCACTGAACCGGTCAGGGATCCCAGAGGGGCGAGAGGAAACATCGTAGATGAGGAGCTTTGGAGCTTGTCCTGATTTCTGTTGGTACCAGGCCATGCTGCTGCTACCACTGTATTCGCTGGCTTTGCACTTGATGGTGACGGTGTCCCCTGCAGACACTGCCAGGGACTCTGGAGTCTGAGTCAGAGCAATGTCTCCACAGACACCTGAAAGAAAAGTAAAACAAATGTGTGCCCGTGCAAGTACCTGATGGTCAGAGGATCAACATCAGCTGCAGCAGGATTGTGAGACAGAGTCTGTTATAAATGCACTAACACTCAAGTATCTCCTATTGCTTCAGCCCCTGCTAGAAAGAGGCTGTGCTGGGTGGCTGGGCAGCCCATGGCTTGCGTCCCAGGCTGACAGGCCAGTGTTTGTCCTGCACATCCGCCTCCCCCAGGGCCTGCACTCACCCTGCACAAGGGCAGCTAGCAGCCAGAGCAGTGCGGGCTGTGCCAGCATCTTGGAGCTGGGGCCTGGCAGGTGAGGAGCAGTGCCCATGCAGTGTGACAGGGACAGTTATACCTCGGGGATAGGGGGGTGAGCCAGGCATGTGTCACTGTGCAAATGAGCACACTTATGCAAATATTCAAATACTCTCCCTCCCTGTTTACTAGGACAGGGCAGACCTGGCTGGCAGAGCAGCCTGCACTTCAGCAACTGCAGGACTCTGATGGTACCAGAGCCTTAGTTGTGTTGCCAGGCCTCGCTGTCTGCTTAGGGCACCCCCAGGAATCGGGGCTCATCCCAAACCTCTCCTGGGTGGAGGTAGGGGCCGGAGGAGAGCAGGACGGCTCGGTGCTGCTCTGTGCCCCGTGTGAGGGGAGCGCACCATGCTGCTGCAGCAGGCATCTTTCACAGCAGGACGCTTCCAGCCCTGCTCCAGTCCCGCTGACTGCAGAGCTGAGCCCTTGCCCCTGGGGTCCAGCAGGACCGAGGAGGCAGCTGGAGTGAGGAGGGCCCAAGCTTGTCCTGGTTGTGCTGGTGCCAGGCCAGACTGCGGGGGGAGGAGTCCTCCCTCGTGGCATGAAGGATCCTGGCTGCTCTGTGAGGCCAAGAGAGGACCCAGCGGCTCCTCAGCCTGGGAGCCAAGGGCTGGGTGTAGAGCAGGACTTGCCCAGGACCCTGCAGGTGTCTGTGAGGAGCAGGGAAATGAACCTGGTAGGGGAGACACCAGGATGATGGTTTGGGTCCAGGTGGTTTTACTGGTCTGGTGGAAGAGATGCCCTTCTTCTCAGCCTTGAATGACTTGGGGTAGCTGAAGGTGAAGACCTGTCCCTTGTACTGCAGGCAGACCCCCCTCACACAAGGGTCTTGTAGAGTCTCCCAGTGGGAGGATCTGGGCTACACATTGTACGGTGTTATGGGATTGCTCTTGGGCTTTCCCCTAGTTTGCTCCTTTGTCCTTTTGGCTAGAGGCAAGCGAGACCGGAGGGCATCTGAACCCCAGGCCCCTGGGCTTGCATGTAGGATGCCTGCCATGCATTTAGGAGTGTCTGAAGCCCCAGGCTGAAGAGGGAGGTGGGATGCTTGCTGGGGGTAATGCCACACAGACTTGAACGAGTGAGTTCTGCCCACTCAAAAGAATTTGGAACAGATTTGGTTGGAGACGTGAAATTAAAAAAAAAGCAGGGAACCGACCTTGCTGACAGCAGGGTTAGTGCCCAGCAACTGGCTGGAAACCTCATGGGCTCCTTGGAGAAGATAAGGCAGTCAGAGGAGAGAGACGTGGATGCTGTGGGGGATGGATGAACATGTAGTGTGTAAGAGGCCTAGGACATAAAGGCTGAGAGCTGTGACTGAGTGAGAGAGCTGAGGGGTGGATGCAAGAATGTGACCAGCACCTAGGTGTGCTGTAACGGGGCGGCAGGGAGTCACCAGCCTGCAACTGTGCAGGAAGCAGCTGGTGCCGGGAACAGCAGGACTGAGCAGAGCAGGGAGGGTTTTGTACAGGGCTGTAGCACTGTGGGAAGCCCGCCAGTACCCTGATGACAGTAATAATCTCCAGCATCATCAGCTTGAACCCGGCTGATGGTGAAAATGTAGTCATCACTGCCAGACACGGTGCCACTGAACAGGTCAGGGATCTTGGAGGGGCAGACCTTTGTGTAGTAGAGAAGGAGCTTAGGAGCCTGTCCTGGTTTCATCTGGTACAAGTGCATGTAGCTGCTAACACTGGAACTGGCTTTGCACTTGATGGTGACTGTGCCTCCTGGGGACACGGCCAGGGACTCTGGGGTCTGAGTGATGAGGAAGTCCCCACTGGAACCTGATGGGGGAAATAATGCAAAGAAGGTTGCACAGTGATGATGCGAGCACTGACCAGCCTTTTTTAATCTATAATTTTCTTCTAAGAATCTTAGTTGTATTTATACAACGGGAGACAAAGAATGGCATCAGGAGTCTTCCTTATTCCATGTTGAACAGAATCAGCCTCTGGACCTTGGAAACTACTGGCAGCTGGGACCTGCTTCCTCCCTGCTGCTGCCCTTACCCTTTGCCCAGAGCACGAGGAGCCAGAGGAGCTGAGTCTGCCACAGCATCTTGCTGCTTCTGCACCGGCTGACATGGAGCTGAGAGACACCAAGTGTTAAACCAGCCCCTTTATAGCTGCTCCCCAGAGCAGGGCGCAGTCACTGGGTTGGCCGTATGCAAAACAGGAGCTCTGTGTCAATGTGTCTTCCCTAGGGCCCAGGGCAGAGGCTGCAGGGATAGGGCTAGCGACAGCCCTGTGCTATGAGAGCAGCATCGTTTCCTGGCAGCAGTTGCTGTGCACCAGATCAGGACAGAAGATGGCACCGATATCTTGTACTTCTGACTGGCTGGGGAAATACCAACGTGGTTTTCTGTCCAGTGCAATGCAGACAGCCCCCTTAGGAGAGTCTGCAATAGCCCCCCATTGGAGGATCTTGGCTACAGGCCTATTTTCTGGAGATGGAGGATTTCTCCTTAGCTTGCTCCTTTAGCTTTTGGGCAGAGGGCAGGTGAGATTTTGGGGCAACTGAACCCCAAGACCTATGTGACTTGGGGCCTGCATGTAGGATGCCTGCCATCGATTTGGGAGTGTCTGAGCCCCCAGACTGAAGAGTGTGGGAGGAAAATTACATGCTGGTGGTAGCACCACAGAGACCTAATCACCGAGCTCTGCCTGGTTGATGGCATTTGGAGCTGATTTGACTAATTTGGCCTGAGACACTACATTAAAAAACAAAACAAAAACCCTCCCATACCAGCTATGCAAGGGCAGCATAGGACCCCTGCCCCTCAGCTCCTCTGTGATCAGTGCACTTTGTTCCTCAGCTAAATGTGTCCAACTGGAATCAGACAAGGTCCTTAGGGGCTGTCCCCACTCTTTTGCGCCCAGGCCTCCTCCCACTGAGGCCCAGGGTAGCTTGTCACCCCTGGTGCATTTCTGATCTGGGCTGACTTTGGAAACCTTCTTCCCCCTCCTTGCTCTTACCCCTCCACTGACCCTCAGGCCTGTGCCAGGGCCCAGATCACTGCAGAGCCCTTCTGCATGGGCACCTTTCAGCCCTGCTTTCTGCTTTCTCTGCCTCAGGGTGTCCCCTTCCCAGCACCCACCTCCTCGCCTTTCCCCTTCTGCACCTGGCCCCAAAATTAGCTAAATCATTTCCAGACTCCATCAGCTGAGCAGAGGTCAGTCGCTCGGGTCCTTGTGGGGTTACCACCGGCAAGTATCTGACCTCCCAGATTCTCCAGCTTGGGGCTTCACATACTCCCAAACACATGGCAGGCATCCTACATGCGAGCCCCAAGCCCAGACCTCTTGGCATTTAGATGCTTCCAAGTCTGACCTACCTTACCCAAAGGCCAAAGGAGCCACCTGAGGAAACCCCCCATCTGCATAAAATAAAGTGTGTAGCTGAGATCCTCCCATGGGGACCTCTGGTAGACTCTCATAAGGGATTTCCAGGGGACGGATGGAGCAGAAGGACCTGCATTCCTGGCAAATGCTGTGTTCACTGGGTGTTGTGGTGGGAGCAAGCAGCAGATGAGGAAAATGTTCTTGTGAGAGCCCTGGATGCCAGCACACTTCAACATCGGGGCAGTGGTGAGAGGGACAGGGCTGTTGTCAGCACAGCCGGCAGTGCTCACGCAGCAAGTACAGCAGGGAGGTTTGTGTCCTGGTCTGTGTCCTGTGAGAGCAGAGCTACAGGCCTGAGACAGGAGTCATCTCATGCATCTCCCTCCTGCATGGTACTGGTGAGGAGCGTGTAACCAGTGCCAGACCCACTGCCTCCAAACTGGGACCCCAGAGGCCAGGGGGAGCCTCAATAGATGAGACATTGAGGAGCTTGTCCAGGTTTGTGCTGGTCCCAGGACGCAGCAGAGCTGCGGAGCCTTGAACTGTCCTTGCAGCTGATGGAAACTTTTTGTCCTGGAGACGCAGGGAGGGATTGTGGGGTCGGGGTCACGGAGACCTGCCTGGAGGAGCTGCAGTCTCACCTGAGGGAGATCCCTGCAGGTGAATGGCCATGGCAGTGAGCAGAGCTGGGGTTTGTACAGGATTGACACTGGTCTGTCCAGTAACGGTGTTAACACCCCCGCGCTACCAGCATCGCCTCTAAAGCTGCAACTGTGACCCATCCCTGAATTAACACCTCAGCTGGCTTCAGCCTGCAGATTTACCCAAAGCAGCTGGGTCCTGATGCTGGGAGGCCAGATCCCTCCTGCCCTGACTCTTACCCAGGATCTACAGGGCTGGAACAAGAGTAGCTGGATCTGAGCCATCATCTTGAGTCTTGGGAGCTGCCTGGTGCTGCTCGAAACACCCTAAGTGTTTGATAGCTGGCAGAGAGGGGAGCTCCTGTACAAACAGCCCATGTGTGCAGGGTCCTGGACTCCCTGAACTGAGCACAGCTGTAGGAGCAGCTTCTTCGGCCCCCACTCAGTGTCCTCGGGGGATGGGATGGTCTGTGGCTGAGGCACAGGAGTCGTGGGATTCAGTCTTGGCTCTGCTGCTGTTTTGGCCCCACACCCAGTAATATTTGTGCAATGATCTGCATGAGCAAGGGCTACAGGATCAGACCCTGGGTGCACAGTCCTGCCCCAGTGAACATTTGTGGTAAAAACCCATTGATCTCAGTGGCAGTGGAGACGACCCAAAGCTCTCAGTGCCGGGTTGGCCGGGGCAGTTTCTCTACAGTCCCACAGCATTTGCCCTGCTCTGCACCTGCATGAAGCCGGTTTCATCCCCTTCTCTTCCATGGACTGGCCCTGGTGCCCTGGAAGTGCTGTCATAGACTCCAACCAGCCGTGAATCCCTCCCTGTCTCCCGGTGCCATGCAGCGCTTAGGGTGAAACAATGAAGATCTCCCAGCAGCATCTGTCACAGCCCAGAGACTGAAGTCAGCAGAGCAGAGAGGTTTTTGCATGGGGCTGTATCACCGTGTGAGGGAAGCTAGTACCCTGCTGACAGTAATAATCTCCAGCATCTTCACTCTGAACCCCGCTGATCGTGAGGGCGTAGTCAGTGTAGCCGCTCCCAGTCTGACGGCCACTGAACCGGGACGGGACACCAGAGGCAAGACTGGTGCCGCTATATATAAGAAGTTTAGGAGCTTGGCCTGGTTTCTGTTGGTACCAGGAGAGAGCATTGCCTGTGCTGGAGCTGGCTTTGCAGCTGATGGTGACGGTGTCTCCTGGAGACACTGCCAGGGATGCTGGAGTCTGAGTCATCACAATGTCTCCGCTGGAGC